CTGATTTAAACATTAATTATAAAAAGCAGTTGCCTAAAAACTTGCTTTCTTACTATTATTAATCTTTAAGTTTCAGCAAATAGCGACAGAAGTGAGATAATCTTTTTGCATCTGAATATAGGACTCATGCTTTATTTTAAAAGGCAGTATAAATTTAACTCTCAAAGTCTGTAAGATTCAGGTGAATAGAAACCAGCAAAATAACCTGCAACACCCCAGTGTTTCTCAACACTGAATCTTCCCACGATGCATTTTAAATGATAACATTATAAACAACATTTCAAAATTTGACCCTTATTTGAAACCATATCCCTCCTCCATTTTATTGTAATGACTTGTTCAATATAGAAAAATAAGTAATTTTATTTTCACTTGTTGCAGAGGTTTGTGAAAAATATTTGCTTACTTGCAGCTGAACTGAGTTATCCTGAAGACCTTCTACAATAGGAGAGAATCTATCAACATTCCTTTCCTCTGCTGCTGCTGTTACAGCTTCCAAAATTTTTTCAAGGCTGTAAGAAAAGCAAAGCATTTCACTCAAGAGAGATATTTAACCTTGCTGTTCATTTGTTATCTGAAGAGCCATGTTGCCGAAGTATTCACCTGCCTCCATTTCTTGCATGCAAATTTAGGAGGTTTAAGCATTGCTTGTTTCCTTTGGAGACTTTTGTAGCCAAAGAATGACTTACCGGATTACAACGGTAAAGGTACCTTAAAAGTAATGCTAAAAAATTTTAAGCAAAAGAATGGCTGCATAGCCACTTCCATCTAACCAGTACATCCACATGTCAAAAAGAAAACTCTTATTGATATGACCATAATAAAAATCACAGACAAAGGTATTCTGAAAACTGACAATATAGTACAGATATTACTTTCAAACCTACATTGAAAATTTTAGCATTTCATTCAGGTATAACTATAATTTTGGATATCGTAAAATTACCATACTATTTCTGGCTAAACACAGTACTTACATGTTTTCCTCTCCAACAATGCACATTGCAGAAAGGAGTTTAACTATATCCGTCATCATGTTAGTTTGCTTGGGATCAATTGCTTTGATCAGCAACAAAAGGCTTCTCTCTTCTCCCAAAATTCTTTCCAATCCATACTAAACAACAGAAAAACAGTTGTAAGGAGAGTTGGAGGGAATCCAAATGACTCTATCGAATATCTAGTAAAAGACAGCGACAGTTCCCTCAAGTAAGTATTTCAAATTACATTTAAGTCTACCAAATACTTAATTAAAAAAATTAAATGAGAGAAAAGTCCAAAATGGGTCGCTTATTCTGTAATAAGGGCATACATCAGCATCAACAGTTTACACTATTCTCCGAGTATATTTCCACAGAGAGGAAGTGGCAGCAGAAAGAACTTCAAAGCACACCTGACCAACACACCGCTTCTCCAAATTGCACAGGCTTCTACCCGCTGATCATGTACACTATCTGATTGAACTGCAGTAATTGAGATTTCCAGATTAAAATAAATCCCATACCTTATTATTCATGAAGGCTCTCAAACATTGTATAACCTTATGCTGACTCCTCTTCACAACTTTGTCCTGGCTGAATAAATAAAAAAATTAGTGTAATTAAATGCTGTTTACATATTAAGAAAAGCTGGCAATTTTATATGAAGTCATCCTTACTTTTTCATCTCAACCAATCTTTCCAAAACATCCAACAGCAGCCCCAGACCTTCTCGGCCAAAGTTTTCAACCCAGCTAGGGAGAAAGAAAAAAAGACACTAAAAAAATTGACATTTCAAAGAATAATTACAATGAATGAAGATTGTCAGCATAAATAAAAGCAGTATAACTGGATCAGTTTAAAACCCAAAATCGACTCTTTACTCAACAGAAGATCAAGAAGCATTCCATTCACTCATTGACATAATTAGATAACCTTAAATTATGAAAGATTAAAAGAATTACAGTAGCCATTAAATTTAGTGATTTTAATTTTTAAATTAACAATTATACATTCTTTAGCACAGAACTCTAATTAAAAAACCCTTGCAAAGGAAGGGAAGAAAAACAACAGTTTCTACTACACACTGTTCTAGGGTCTCCTGGAAAGGTCAGAATCTAAACGTAAATGGCACAGAAGGAAGGAAAAGCCTAAAGGAATTGCAGATGTGGCTGCCTGAGATATTAATCAATACAAATATCTCCAAGTGAACACAACAAAAATTTAAAATTTCAGCTATTGCCAAAGCTATCTTTTGGTAAGGTTAAACCTGGGCATGTTGTTTCTACATGAGAGAGCTGCTTCACAGTCCTGTTTACTATTGCTGAAAACCCCTTGATATCAAATACAACTAACTGCATGACTGACAGCAGTACTGCAGCCATCCCTTTGATAGTAGCTGTTGGTCTTGCTGAAACTATGACGTTTGATCAATTACCTAACCCTAAAGTTCATGGACAACACTGTCATTCATAGTCATATAACAGAAGGAGTATTTTGCTCTTTAGACTTCATTGCCTATGTAAGGCACAGATATTTTAAACTTCAAACTTCTAACAAAATCCCACTGGAGGAAGGAGAAGTTAGCTGCAGAGGCAACAAAAAAACATATGCAAGCAGAGAGACTGTAGAGACTATTTACTCAGGAAATTCCTTTTATAAAGGGTGAAGTTGTAATACTCAATTATGGAATGAGTTCACAAGTACCTGAATATTCTTCTCTTTCCATAAGAGGCAGGAATATTTCCTGACACCTTTAGTCAACTTTCCATGCTACTGCCGTAAGACAAGTCCTTGGATCTCTTATTATTGTCTTTGGCCAACAAGACAAAATTATTTCATAATGGGCATCTCTTCCATACTTTTTCCACTTTTAAATTAGCGTATTACTTTTATCTATTAACTGATGACAAAACCATCTCTATTTAGAACAGATATAGTTAGCATGATGAAGATGTAATACTTTTCACCATCTTTATCATCAAAACATGGATTCTGTTGTGGGTGTAGTACCAATAGTTTCTGTGCATTCTTTAAATTACTACTTAAAAAAAGCTTAGGCTGAGGAAATCCCTTGTCATGTATTAACAAAATAAGTCTTTTACATAAAAAGGAAGCATCCATTCTACAACATCAGAAGTTCAACATCAAGACATTGATAGAATTAGTAAAAAAATTACAATGTTCACTTTACTTGCATTATAGTCTCTCCGTTGTTTTCTTTGTTTTGTCTACTTACACACCATTGTACACATTGGGTAAAATGTATTTATCACCACTTTTGTATAGCAACCAGACTATTTAGATACTCCTATAATGGTGGGACCTTACTAGTGACAAATAATAAGCTATTCTGTTGGAAATAACACAAGGGAGATGCAATAGCTCTTTTGAAATACATAGTACTTCTAATCCCATCATAGGATGGGATTAAACAGTTCTTCGTATCTGCTAAGACACAGAACTGTAATGGACTTAAAATTATAGGAAGAGAGAACCAGATCAGATGCTTTTATATGTTTTTCCCCTAGAAGTAAATATACATGAAAATAGATTTTCTCCTTCCTGGATGGGTGCTTCATTCTGAAACAGATTAGGCAAATAACTGTCAATTATTTTTGGTATAACTGGCCATATCTGACCTAAAGATGATCCTACTAGACATTTCTTAGCACATTTTGCATTAGACAGAATTGTGCACAGCCACTTTGTCATACATCCAGCAGCTGAGGATGCTGAGAATGATCAAGTACCTAAAATACTGTTGCATTATTACAGCCTTTTCCTCTGCTTCCACAAAGAACAAAGATTACTTATACCATCCAGAGCAAACACTCAGCTTTTTGTCAGTCTGACAAAATACCAAGCTATCAGTGCCCTTCTTTTCAATTTATTAAAAATGTCCTCTTAATGAAAAGAGCTAAATCTGCTGCAATTATTATACAAAAGGAGAAGAAATAGTTCTAGATAACTAGTTATCTGTAATACTATGTACAGCTAGATCACTGAACCACTTTTGATGAATTGTGTTGGCAGCTATAAGGTAAAAACACCTCATTTATTTACCTGAAGAATAGTGCCCAAGATCAGTGGATACATTTTCCTGTTGAGGCTTTCTTTTTATACTGATGGAAAATAAATACTACTTTTTGCACTAAGCCATAGATTTTAATACATCTTTCTAAGTACCAGGATCAAACTACTCAATATCAATTGATTCAGATTTTCTCTGTGAACTAAAAATACATTTTACAAAAACAACTAATTGAAAACAATGTTGTAGAACCAGTTCTTGCATTAGAAACTGAAATGTCAACAAGATTAAAAAGTTGATTAAAGTGTAGTAATTGGAAAAACAGCAAAAAACCCTACATTATATATTGTCAAAAAGATGACAGCCCACAAACGTGAAGATTGTCAGGCTAGATCCAGTCTAAATTTAATTCTCATCCTGTTAAAAAAGCATGAATTTTTTCTTAGGTATTATATACACACAAAATAAAATCTTAAGGTTTCATCAGTTATTTCTCGTTGTCCATATCATATGAAGCAGGAGTTAAAAATAATCATGGATTTACAGCAGCTAGACTGGAGTTCACTATTTATGTGTCAAAGCAAGTTCTTACTCAAAGATCTGGCTGCTGATAGGAAAATCAAGGTCATCAATATTTGAATCCAATGAATATCAACTGTTGTTACTCATTAGAAAAAAGGGGACGTGGTTTAAAAATGTTTACTCCACAAATTTATAGTATGAAGAACAGTGTGCTGCTGTTACATTTTTGCTATTTTTGTATATAAGCCCTACAGAAGAACTTAGTTTTTTCCTAAGGCTGTTTAAAAATGCTCTGTTTAAGCCTAGCGAGGTCTATCTTAACAGTCTTCTTCAGCATCACTCAATACATCAGAACCTGTTTCAGAACCTGTATGTTTTATTGGTTGTGATCCTTCTTTTGATTTGTAGACTAAAATGGATTCATGGACAAGCAGTAGATTTTTTTTTTTTTAATGAAACTGCTGCCTACTTAAATACCTCTTCTCTGGTGTTTTTACAAGCCACAGTCAGTCTCCTTCCAATTCAAACCTCTCAAATTCAGACCTATTCTTAGGCCATACATCCATTAACTTAACAATGAGTTTCACTCCAATCCAAGCATTATAGTTCTTTTACATTGTCTCTTACATTCTGCTTAATGTTTCAAATTGAAGTTAAATTTTAATAAATTATGGTCAAGTTAGGACTTAGATTCAACTGTCAAATTTTCTACCTACCACATATTTGACTGAACAAAGTGAAAGCTAGTGTTGCAATCTAGAACTATTTGTACCAAAAACTTAAAGAAACTAATCTCTCAAAAGTATCAATGCAATACTTTGATATCAACAATGCATCATCCCCTTCTAGCATGCTTTGAAGGACTGACATAAAATACGCTAAGCTTTTGAAAATGAAAACATTCATTTTTCCATTTCTCCATGCACAAAAGCACTTGCCCTTTTCCCTGTCCTCATAACATATACCTACAGATTTCTAATCCATTCTTTACTTAAAGTGAAACAGTTGTGGAAAACCTACTCAGTCCAAAACTTCATAACATTTAGTTGCTGTAAAACTTCTAAGTTTCTGTACTTTGTTCTTCCAGATAATATTGATCACCAAACTTTTGGTATTGATCAGATGCTCTATTACAACATCATAACCCAATGCAACTTGCATTCTCTATCAAATGTGTCAAGTATAGACCAACACTGTTCTCTCATAGCTGGCCTTCACATTCCTTATTCTGATACCATTTCTCCATCTTCCTCACCCCTTCATGTCCTATCACATTGTACTGTGCTGTCAAGCAGAACTAGCACCTCACCAAGATCATGGGGTTTGGTTTTGGTTTTTGGGGGAGGGCGATTAACTTTTCTCTTCCTGTGTGGGAAAGGGGCAAAGGGGATCACATAGAAAAAGACGAAACTATCCAGTCATATCAAGAACAGAGAGGAGAGATTGCTCTACACTTGTCACACATTTCATACATTTTGTATTTCTATTTCCAGATGCATACTAACAAGCAACATTTTCTTTGTTAAATCAACGTAAGCGTAAATAAAAAAATCTCTGGAGTTGTGGGTAGGGTTTTTGGTTTGTTTTGCTTTTTTTAAATAAAGAAGGGGAAGCAATACTATATCAAAAAGTAGCTTCACATTCATGGAAGAAGTATATCTTCTGTAAAACCCTCTGTCAGAAGAGCTCAGGTTAATGTAAAGCATGTTTCTTCCCATGTGAATCGTTACACATTCTAAATAAGACAATCCAATTCAAAAACAAATTAATAGAAGGAAAGAAGCAAACACCCATACAGAAGACCCACATCAACGACTCTGCCAAGCCAGATGCAGAAAGAAGAAAGTTGTCTAATCCTTTTTAATCACGTCCTATCATAAGCATCCCCAACATTTCATTTGCATTATTTTGAACTAAACTCAAAACTGTTCCCCAAAATCATGTCTTCAACCATTGGCTTAAATAGGAACTCTAAAACAAAAGGTTGTAAATAGAGTAGAATAGAAAAAAATATTATTTAATAAAATAAAGCCAGCACACACAAATAAAGCTGCATGGATCAAATCAAAATTAAACATAAAGATTGGTATCAGTGTTAGAGTTATGATTACTGAAGAGTTAGCCTTTTTAAAAAAAAGCATAGGTAAAGTAATGTTGTGCTCTATTCTGTATAGATAAACCCCACAGATGCAGCAAAAATTACTAGTAGGCAGCAAGGAAGAAAGCCTAAAGCACACTGGACAGAAGGAGGAGCACACAATTAAAAACATATATGTTTTCTGGCTAACAAACTTACACCAAGGTGTCTATCGCCATTATTGATCATCCTGACAAAGTGTTAAAAGATTAAAGAGTTAAGAGAAAATTTCAAAAATAAAAATAATAAAAAAACTTTTGACTATTTAGCACTAGAAAACAAAGCAAACTGCTCTGCACTACACTTGGTTTACATTCTCTTAGCATTACCTTGTACAGATCAGTGAAATCTACTGAAAAATAGATCTACTGAAGATACATAATCAATGAAAAACAAGAAAAAAGGTACAATCATTCACTAATGCATACACATTCATTAACTGGAAAACCTTGAAACATGCACGTCTACCGATCCATTAATTTTAATCCATTAAGAAATAAGAATATGATTAATCTTTGCAATATGTGTTAATGATGTTACCTGACAGGATTACTAGTCAAGGACACACGGAGAGATTCTAAGCAAGTGACTAGTCTTTCATCTGTTGACCCAGATTTTAATTCCTGAATAAACTCTTGGGGTGAAATCTTCCGACTGTTCTTGAGACTTCCCTGAAATACAGAAAATAAAAAAAATGAATGTATTTTGCACATACAGAACTTAAATAGATTATTAATGCCTAACCTTCATTTTTGTTCCTTGAAAAAACAGGGGGGGAAGACAATTTAGTCCTAAATTTGTAACTGTTTGTTGTCCATCTACTATTATGCTAAATGCTGACTAAATTTTTATCAATCTATGAACAAATTTATAATCAGTATTCAAAAGCAGCAGGCATCAAATGCAGAAATATATCATGCACACTCCGTGAAATACAATTTTTGTAATGAATGGATTCTGTTTATGCATTGCAAATATCTTAATTTTCAATACTGCACAGAAGAAAAAAAAAAAAAAACAATTCTGAGGTGCTCTGAAGAGATCACAGGGCATGTGCCCAGAAGGGCGACTGCAGTCATATGAGAATACAGAGGGAAGAACCAGCACACCAGAAGAGTACTTAGGATGTTATTGCAGTAACTTGAGTTCTTGCAGATAACGTTGTAAAATGCTTTTCCCTTAAAGGTCCTTCAGATGAGGAGTATATGAGACTGGAATTATAAAAACAGACTAGCTTTGGCTCTAAGGACTAAAGCAAAAGAATTTCAAAAATAAAAAAAAATTAAAAAGAAAAAAGACTTCTTTAGAAACACTGAAGCTCTAAAGATAAATCCCAGCTCCTCATTTGTTGTATTTGCCATCTGTAAGAATGCAGTGCAACATAAATATGACTATCGATGCAATAACATAAGGACACTTACTCAACCTTCGGGTTTGGATTTTGCCTTGCTTTTTGGGTTTTGCTCTTTTTGGCAGGTGGGGAGGCAAATGGGGACATGGAGAACAGGGAGACAGAAAGGAAAATACAATGGCAAGTTAATGCAGCACTGGAAAAGTAGTTTTGTGCAAACAAAATATTTTCTGTTCCAAGCAATATAGGTTGAAAGACACTGACTTTGACTCATCGTTGTATCTGTGGTGTCAAATGTTGCTTAAAATAAATTCAAGATATTGACAACTCTTCTGAAGGATATATAGTATCCATTGTTTTAAACAAAGCAATGGTTATGCTGAACTAATGAAGCTCTACCATTTGCAATCAAAACGGCAAATCTTAGAGGCACTGACCCTATTTTTAAGAGTATCCTCCTGCCCCTTTTTTTTTTTTTTAAGTAGCAGCAAAGACAAATTCGTAGACAGTGGAAAATAAGAAGTCTACTCCACCTAATACCCATTTATGACATGAAGAAGGATAGATATATTTTCTACAGAACATACCTAAATTCCAAAAGAGAGGCATACAATGGGGTATACAACCTATATTTGACTTGCTCCATTGGAAAGACTCCTTTTTTTGAGAACAAAAGCACTACTGTTCTGTCATGTAGCACTAAAGAGAGTTACTAAATAATAGTCGATTATCTAGTGGCTTGCAGTGCAATAATAACTTGAAATTATCCACTGTAAATGGTGAGGCAGTCTCATTATCTTATTATACAGAGCTTCATACAGAAGATGTTTTCTCACTTTGGTAGATCCTCCAGAAGTGTTGAAAAATATACTTTTCTCCTCCCGAAGCAGATGATAATGAAATAGTTTCTAGCAGAGAGGTGAAGTTAAAAAATGGGTAGAGTGGTTGAAAGACCAGACTGCTGTGCTGCCATTTAGAGGGACCTCAACAGACAGAAGAAATGGGCAGAGGAATTTCAGGGAGTTCCACAGGAAGTGCTAAATCCTGAACCTGGGGAGGAATAAACCCATTCACCAACACGTGTCAGGGCCAACCAGCTGCGAAGTAGGTTTGTAGGAAAAAAATGGAGGTCCTGGTGGATGACAAGTTGTCCATAGGGAAGTGCATCACCAGCTGGTCAAGGGAGGTGATCCTTCCCCTCAGCTCAGTGGTGGTGACACACACCTGGAATAGTGTTCAGTTCTGGGCTCCCCAGGCCAAGAGAGACATGGACGTACTGGAGAGGGTCCAGAAAGGACTGTGGACACAATTAAAGGAGCATCTGTTGTACAAGGAGAGGCTGATAGAACTGGGATTGCTTAGCCCCAAGAAGAGAAGGCTCAGAGGAACCCTATCAATGAAAGGACAAGAGGCACAAATTGAAATACAGGAAATTGGTTAAACGTAAGACATAAAGAAAAACTTCCCTCCTCCCCCCTTGTTTTTTTTTATTTTAACCATGAGGCTGGTCAAGCACTGGAACAGGTTGCCCAGGCAGACTGTACAGTCTCCTCTATCAGAGATATTAAAAAATGGCATAGATAAGGGGTTAGACAAGACGATCTTCCAGCCTCAACCATTCTATTCTATGACTCTGTGATAAGGGAACATTGGGGGGCTATTGGGGGCTATACTACCTCTCTGCTCCAACTATATTTCCTCAGACTTGAGAAACGGATGTTCAAGATGCCAAAAAACAGACTACTGCCAAGAACCACCCTGAAAATATAGCATCTCAAGCTATATTTTGGTACATGGAATGTCATTCCAAATGTGCCTCTGAATTGACGGAAATCCCTATTTGCCTAAATATGAGAGTCACTTCCAATAACTATGTTCCACCAAAAAGTAGATGAGATGGCCAGGAAGGGATGAGGGTTGAGAGGGAGCCTTAGAATTAGAGATCTAGGAAACCCAGAGGAAAAAAAAAAAAAATCCATAACAATAAAATGTTCCCACAGACAAAAAGAAACTCAGTGTTTTCAGTTTTCTTTTGTGTTCTGTGTTTAGTTCATAGCTACATAATACTCAAGTCAGAAAGGCCCTACAGCAAGGGAAATTTAATCTCTTCAGGTATTATCTGTGTCCAAGAGTTAACAATATGCATTGGTAATACCAGGAACAGAACACCACCTCCTCAAAAAGCATCTAGTTGGCAAACTTATTCCATGAACAATTTACACTCCTCACCAAGACGGTGTAATTGCTTGCACTTCCATAAGGCAAGAAAGCTCAGGTCCCCTACAGCTTTGACACAGCTATATCTAAAGAGGAATGAAAAAACAACTAGAGAGAATCTTCAAGCCAAATGCAGAAGATCCTAAACAAAACAAAAAAGCATTCATATCATTAAGAACTAAATATCAGACAAGATAAAATGTGAAAGGTAAACACTACTACACCATGAGTTGCCCAAAACACTACAAATTCACTGGCTAAGGGGAACTGGCGACAAGACTTTCTGTCTGGTTATTCAAGAGCTTATATACTGAGCACATCCATCCTGTTACAATAATCCCCAGACATTTTAAGACTATACCCCTGAGGCACAATAAGGGGAATTGAGTTATGGCTGTGATATAAGGACGAAATTGTTACAACTGTGGTGTAAAAGGGAATCAGGGCTGTGCCTGTATGCATATGCAGTGTATACAGTTCCCCATGCAATCCTGAATCTTCCCAGCTGGTCACTGCATAGATGATATCACGGACTGACTACAGAGAAAATGACCAAACTCCTAGCAACCTTCATGACAAAGCATTTAACTAAATGTTACAGGAGCTCTCCAGTTGGAAGTTTCAAAGAGTCCCAGAAATTCTCCTGGCAGCTCCTGCTGTGCATAGACTAGTTGATAAGCACTGCTTGTATGCCTAAGCATATGGATTAATATCCTGGGTGGAGAATCTGTCATTTCCAGTGACTTCCCCCAGCAGTTCCTGCTGTAAAATTGACCAAGCTGGATATAACTAAATTACTTATAATATTCAGTAAAATTGCTTTCTTACGATGCAGCAACAATCGTATAGGACAGTCATATGGACAAGACATATAGTTAAGATGGTTAGAAGATATTTTGGAAGTAATTGAATATAATCAATAGCAATGTGTGCAGTGAAAAGGTCACGTGGGACAAGAGCCCAGCCAGACTATAAGAATTCAGTAGAACAACATTTCGGAGAGTCTCATTTGACCCATCTGAAGACAGTGTCACAAGGAATGGAGATTCACATCAACATTCAGACAGTAATCAGCCATCCCGTTTCAGATTCAGTTCCCCACCTGAACACTACCCTATGCAAAAGATGCCAATAAACTGTGAACGTCTGTGCAACGTACCCACAGTACCAAGTACCACTTATTCATAGTTACACCAAGGTTCTGCAACATAATAAGAATATGATACATCTGCCAGTGCTTAAATAAAATGAGAGCTGCATTTGGTACCAATTGTGAAACTGATTATATTAGCTATATTTCTGCATGGGAAAAGCTGTTTAAGTTCAAAATGCTCGAGTTAACTGAGAAACAGGAAATATCTTGAGGCATCAGTGCCTCTAGAAATTTAATTGCTCAACTGAAGAACAACTGGTCTGTGAGCAGATGCAGTATGAAGTCAGCATTAATTAATTCAGTTAAAACATTACAAGGGAGTAAGCTGCACAACAAAAACATAATCTTGTGAAGAAAACTCACTTTAAAAACCCAGTTTGTGTGTGTTCAACATACAGAACAGCAAAACTTACGGTAGAGTAACATTGTAGCAATGCTGCTTTCATTTCTACTTGAGCATTAACTCCATAACATGGAAATTGATTTTTAAAACTTTTCTGGGCTGGAATACCTTTGTATGCATTTATATAGCACTTAAAAATGTGATGCTGTTTCTAACCTCAAATAATCATAAGACATACAAACAGCTACAAAAACACAGAAAAAACATTGGACATAACAATCTCTACCAACAAACAGAACCACACTGGTTTTGGTAGATGAGAATTCACACTCACATAATAATCTTTAAATACAACCGTTGTTCCCTTCTCCAACTGTTTCCTGATAAATACGACATGACACCACAGCAGACAGAAATTTCATTCAAGATTTCCAAGCCATGATGGTTTAAAAAAATATGCCATATACATCTCTAAGATAATGTTTTTAAGGGAACAAGTAAGGCTTCATCTAAACACTATACATTGCAAGAAAACAAGAAAGTACTAGCAGAATACTGAAGTACTTGAGCAGAGTTCTTCCAAGCATACAATTTTTGCTATCATTCAAATTTTCAGAAAGTATTACTAATATCCCAAACCCCAAGACTGTTTATTCTTAGCAATTCTTCTACAGAGAGCCCCTGAACACGTTATAGTGATGGTAACAGCATACTTACAGACAAACATATACAGACATATATACAGAAGCATGCTTTCAGCCAACTGTTTTAAGAAGTCTCTAAGCAAAGTGGAGTGAAATGAATGAGTACTGGACGATGCATGCCTGTAGAACTCTGGTTACTTTTAAGTAACTTTGAGTCCTGAAGTGATGGATTCATTCTGAACATCTCGTGCATACACCGAGGTAGGTCACAGTATTCTATACATAAATAAGCACCTGAGCATAGCCCCACCAAACCCAGCATAATTTCTAGATGCTTCAGTAAGAGAGATGTGCTTTGTGAATATCGGAAACAGAAACCCTGATACTGAGGTCAACGATGAAGCTTTGACTATAGTGTAGTCCACTCAGATCACCAGAGGCTGCTTCATTTTCAGGGATTCATTAAAGGCACAGCCTCTGCTCTTCATTTTAATAGTTTTTATAATAACTGCTTTAAACGAAACCTGCTCAATACTCTGCATAGCAGTTGCAAATGAGGATATTTGTCCCAACACAATATAGCTTGGTACCTGTCTCCTTGAAGTTTGAGAAGTGTGAACTATCAAAAGATGTTACTGCAGTATCACTCATAGAAAGAGAGACCTGAGATGCAGTTAGTTGTATGTAATATTGAGGAGCTATATAGCACTTCAGCTCTTCTGAAAAAGTATGACAGTCATCAAGTCAAGGTACACTAAAATTTATCCAAGTACCCTGGGCACGCAGTGCACTATTTTCTCTAGACTGAGAAGGCACTCGGACAGTCCAATGCACATGAGGCATGAAAGAGCATGCCAGGAAC